TTTTCTGGGTTTTTTTTTAGCTTCTATATTTGTTACTATGTTTCAAACTGCCCGCTCAGAGGCCGGCAAGGCAGGCGGGGAACGTTGCAGTCCTCCATCACTGAAGCAAGCAAGCCTCATGTTCAATTTAGGCTGCCTGGCTGCCGGCTGCCATCTTGGCTGGCAGTTAATTTCCATATCGCCCTGATTAGCCAATGGGAAGGGTAGCGGTCGTATGCTAATTACCATCTTTCTCTTTTATTAAATAGGAATAGTAATATATATCTATATATTTATATATGTATATATAAACAAGTTTACTATTTTAACCCTTTTGAAGCATACAATTCAATGGCATTAAGTATATCACCCAGGACTTTCTCATTGCAACAGACACTCTGTGCCCATAAAACAATAACTCCCACTCGTCCAGTGTGGCTCAGTGTTTGAGCCTTGACCTATAAACCAGGAGGTCATATTTCAATTCCTGGTTAAAAAAAAAAACCCAGTAACTTCTCATTTTCCCTCCCCCAACCCTTGGTAACTATCCTATTTTATGTCTCTATGCATTTTCCTATTCTAGGTTCCTCATGTAAGTGGAATTCAATTTGTCCTTTTGTGGACAACGGATGTTTCAGACTGACAGGAAGGAGGAAAAGAAACTGAGACAAGCCAAATGCAGCTTCCCTTAGTTCTTTCACGCTCTGAGGCATGTCTAGGCTTCCCTTCTCTGGAGAGCTTCTTGGTAATGATGCCAAGAGGCTCCTTGTAGCTTGTTATGTAGTTTATCTCATCTCAGTTCCGTCCTCTTTTGTACAGAGACTGATTTTCCCTTTGCTGACTCCATCAGTTGAGCCCCCAAATAGGGTCACATCTCTGCTTATGGCACAAATTGCTTCTTGTGAAGCCTGAAGGAGGGCAGCTTCTACTCTCCTAAGAGGCTGTCTTGGCCACAATGGAACTTTGTGTATGACCATCGGGTGCTGGGTGTGAGCCAGGCTGGATGAAGTGGTGAGTTGTTCCTGATACTCAAGCCCTGAATTTTTGAGGGTACTGTTATCTGGAAGATGACTTTCCTCATGAAAAATAAAATGAAACCAGCCTCTGCTTTTCCTGCATGGTGCTTGGTTTGCAATTACCAGTAACTTTCTCAGAACTGACCAATCAACTTGACAATTTTGGAAAGCCTGTCCATCCGCATTTAGTACTTGGGAAATTCTACTTCCAGATCCCACTGAGACAAAGCAGATTTCCCATAGGTATTCCTAATTTGAAAAAGCCTGTCCTCGAACTTCCTTAGTTTTAGAGCTACTTTTCCAGAATGTGAGCCTCCTATATCTGTGGATAGATGTTCTATGTGTATGTTTAAATATATAGGATGCCACACACAATAAATAGTTCACAGGCCAGACTATGGCATTTTTGGTTAAGATATTTTCAAATTGGCTTCAAAGGGAACTAACTAGATCTTACAGTCATGGTCCAAAATCTCTTAGTCTCCTTACAAGAATGCTTTTCTTTCATTGGACTATGTCCAGTCTGCTATGTTGGTACAGGTTGTTGTTGGTTGGCTAGTAGACTCAGTGATGTACTTTGTATGACATTTGCTCTTATTTTAAGACTAGAGGCCTGGTGCATGATATTTGTGCACTGGCGGGGGCGGGGGTTGCCCCTCAGCCCAGCCTGCACCCTCTCCAAGCTGGGACCCCTCAAGGGATGTCCCACAAGGATCAGGCCTAAATCAGGCGTCGGACATCCCTCCCACAATCCGGCACTGCTGGCTCCCAACCATTCGCCTGCCTGCCAGCCTGATTGCCCCCTAATCACTCCCCTACCAGCCTGATTGATGCCTAACTGCTCCCCTGCCAGCCCAATTGCCCCCAACTGCCCTCCCCTGCCAGCCATCTTGTAACCACATGGGAGTGGCCATCTTGTGCCAGGGTGTGACATTCAATTTGCATATTACCTCTTTATTATATAGGATTCTTTCTCTTGGCATCTTCTTGATTCCTCTTCTTTTTCATATCCTAAAAGAGGCTCTTACTTGGTCCCTTCATTTCGTTATTCTCTGTCTTGCTAGTGGAGATAGGGTTTGGTGTTAGATACATCTGCTTTCAAATCCTGAATCTGCTACTTACTAGTTGTGTGACCTTGGGCAAGTAACTGAACTTCTCTAAGCCATAGATTCCTCCTCTGCAAAACAGGAATAAATGATTTGCTATTCTCAGAGATGTTGATACGATTGCCTAAGATAATTAGGAAAAGTACCTGGCACATAGCAGATACTCAACAAATATTAGCACACATCCCACACCCACTTCTTTTGATTTAGTTTAATGTAAGCCCTTCCCAGTCAGTCTGAACTCCTGAGACAAAACCCCAAATGTCCAGAGTTCGTTTAGGTCTAAGCTACACACAGCTGCTCTCAACGGAAGCTGCGTGATTGACAGCTACTATTGACCTGGCTTTGCGATATTGGTTCCTGCTGTCTTCATCTGAACCAGCAGCAACTACGCGGTACTGCGCCTTAACCTCCAGGCCAGGTTATGCCAAGGAGGGTGGTGTTCCACCGGTAAATTTACCTCCAAATACCTGTGATGTGGTTCCACATGTGAAAGTGACAAAGAACAAAGCTAAGGAACCATAGTTAGTGCGATAAGGTGTGGTTTCACCAAGTTGAAGGGACTCTTCTAAGCAAGCCGGGACCAGCTCACCTGCGCTTGTCACGGGGCAGGTAACTGGGACATCCTTTCTCCAAGACAGGCGAGGGCGCTTCTGCAGAGCGCTGAACGCCCTGTGGGGGCGGCGGAAGGCTTGCGGTCAGCTTTACTAACAGTCAGGGCTTAGGTTTCTGTTTGTGAAACTTTCTGTATTGTTTGGCAGCTTCTCCCCAGCACCCACCCGATCTGGACGCTCTCCGTGGCACAGCTGTGATGGGATTCCAAACCTTCGCCGCCAGTGGACAAATACTGACAGTGCAGTCCTCGGAATGGGGCTCCGGGCCAGCTGAGGTCTGAAAACACTTGGCTCCGTGATGGGTAAGTCGTAGCTCCCTGCTGGGCCCATTGATGTTGGTGCAGACTTTAACCCAAATTACTCATGAGGATCATTCTTCATTTCTGGCAACTGTACCAAATGCTAAACACTGCTGCTCAGGGCATTTGGGGCTGGGAATTTATGTCTTCCACGTCTACATACCGCTCTTTTCGACCTTTGAAAGCGCGGTCCCGTCTGGGCTCCCAGCGAGGGCAGGGCGAGATTTTGGGAGGAAGGACGACAAGAGGGGAGCACAACTGCTTCCGGCTGTCCCCAGCCCACGTCGTCCAGGGCCCTGGGGAGGGATGGGGCAGAGGACACAGCAGCGAGGGGAAGGGGAAGGAGATGGGGAGGGTGATGGGGGCCCAAGTTCCTTCCAGCTCTTCCCCGGCTTCTCCTTGCGCAGTCAGCGCGACAGCCGCGCGGCGATCCCAGGGAGCTTCTAGGGTTGCCTCCCAAGCCCGGATTCCCTGGGCTGGGGGAGGGGCGTGGCGGAGCCCGGGCTCCGCTCCTTGCTCCTCGCTCCTTGCTCCTCGCTCCTCGCTCCTCGCTCCTCGCTCCCGCTGTCTCTACAGCCGGGGGGCGCGGGGCCCTCGCTCCGCTGCTGGACCGGCGCGAGCCAAGACCAACGCGTCGCGCACAGGGAGCAGCTTTCCACCTCCCGGTGGGTCGCGCCGTGCGGGTGGCGAGAGAAGTGGGATGGGTTGGGGTGGGAGGTGAGGGGGAAGGATGGGCGCCAGAGACTGAGGGATCCCAGGATAGGTCTTGGCAGCTCTGCGGGCCTTTGGAGAAGGTAGGAAGCGGCTCCCCTGCAGGGGTGGCGGATTTTTATTGTATTGACTTGCAAGGGAGGGCGACTCTGCTGGCCTGGGTCTGGAAGGGCCAGAACGGGACCTCAAAGCACTTTTGCTGGGGACGACTATTGGCACAAAGCCTGCGCCCCGCTTGGTTCAAGGCGCCGTGTTCCGGATTCGATGGCTTTTCTCGGTTCCTCAAAAGTGCGCCCGCAGAGGACCCTCTCCCGAACTTAACCAAGCTAGGCTGCAGCATGAAAGCACCAAGTACGCTTTGCTCTGAGCGCGCCTGCAGAGACTGCCCAGGAAAAAGCGGGGTTGCTGCATTTTATCCTTGCCCCGCCCACCTGACCGGGATCGCGAGGTGGGGTGGGATTTGCTACAGACCCCTGCGAAATTGATAGTTTATAGAACGTGGAGAACTTTCAGAGGAGGGGTTATTTAGCCCCAATAGGAATTAAGACTCAAAGGAAAGGGCGTATCCAATAGCTGCCCTTTGGAAGGATCTTTGAGTGAAGTTGTGGTGGGAAAGTGCAAAGAAGTGAGGGGTCGGGAAACTTGAGTTTCTTAGACTCTTTCCTAAGGTCGAATAGCAGTGAACTTCGGTTTGCGCTTGAACTTCACTTGCTGTTGTGAGAAGTGCGAAAATAACTTGCTCTGCTTTCACTGGGTGGTTTGGAAGATAACTGGAGGGAGGGTAGTTCAGCTTCTCGAGGGCCTGTACAAAGTGGGGGAGCTGCTAGGATCCTAGATGAAAACTGAGAGCCGCGGCCTCTGGGGAGTTAGATTTGATTAGACATGTTGTTCGTGAGACCTGTTTAACTCTGAAAATATTGCTTGCTTTCTGAAGTTGGAGTTCTTGATTTCTGACATGGGAGATTCTGTCAGAGCCAAGTATAAATATCAAGAATGTCATTTTCATTTGAATGGTCTTTAGAGGAAGATAAGTCGAGTGCTCCAGAAGGAGTATTACACCCCCCCATCTGAAAAAATACAAATAATAATAGCATTGACAACTTTGAATAGTTTCCCTCATTACTAAATTTAGATGGATATGGAAATGAGATTCACATGGTTGGATGCATTACTGTTAAAATTTAAGCAATTATTTTTAGATAAGCATGTCCAGCCTGCCAGAGATTATAAACATGAGCGATACTAGTGCCTGTGTGTCATATTGTATCTTACCATGATTCCAAATAAGGCTTCTGATTGTTTTTTCCATTTTGATTAACAAACAGGAGTTGAAGAATCCCTCAGTTAAGAGGTTGGTAAATAAAACTAGATCTCCTTAATTATGCTGACTTAAACTAAACTGTAAGTTTTTATAAAATCACACTGATGGTGATAATAAAGCTAAATTTTATAGTATATTGTGTGTCAGACTGAGATATGCATGATACAATTCATCTAGTTCTCACAATAATCCTGTAAAGAAACTGAAGCAGAGAGCTTTGCCCAAGATGACAGGGCTAATAATTCATTTCTCTCATACTGGTATAAAAATTAAAATTGGGACTCTTTTTTTAACTTCTGTATTGTGTTTAATCCCACACATAGGGGTGGCCTGAGGGATGCCACTAAAGGCTCTGGAACAAGGTTCCAGACTTTGGACCCTGAGAATGCCACTGGGTTGCTATGTGGTGTTTACTTTTCTTCCTTTTTCTGCCCCTCATTTTTTTCATCTACAAGTGATGATAATGATTCCATATTGACTGAATGCTTTATTTCTCACCAGAAGTATGAACTGTGGAAGTGAAATAATTCTGAGAGATAAAAATCAAGAGTCACATATTTTTGTCATCTATAACATTAGGCTGGAAAATGGCAAATGAATAGAAGCTAAAAATTGTTATGGAGCTGAAGGGGCTTGTTTACCTACACACATCAAAGCCCAATAAAATGCCAACAGGAGTTTGCAGCGAAGAAAGTAAGGGTTTTTTTTAAGGAAGTGGCACCAAGCCCAGAGACACAGGTGAGCTAGTTCTCTAAAACCTGCCTCCCCAGTGGTTTCTAGGGGATGGGTTATACAGGGGAAAACAATAATCATGATGAATAAGGGAGTTAGGGTCATGCATTTGGTCCTGATGTCAGCCATAGGACCATTCTGTCTGGCTTAGCAAGGGTGTGGTTAGTAGGGTTGTTCTGCCTTTCTGGATGTGGAGCTGAAACACAACTGGGCCTAGATGTGACTGAAACTCTGTCTGTATGGTCAGCAGACCCAGCCTTTGTTCCTTAGACTGTTAGATGCCAACCAGAATCTGGTGTCCTAAGGGCTAAATGACTAAGGGAGTGGACAGGCAAGGAAAGAGGGAGGCAGGTGAGTCATGGTGCTCCTAGGCTGGACAAGGACATTTTGAATCAAGAGGAAACAAAAAAGAAAAGGTCATATTGAAGAGAGGAAATTGCTGCAGTTACAAAATTACCAACACACTTCATGTGATTTGCCTGAATTAAGTTTGAACATTGTTGATTTCCCCCCCCTATAATAACTTGAGTTTTGTTCTTGGATCATCCGCCCTACATTTATTAAAAGAGTTAAGTATAAATGAAACTTCAAAGGTTTTTTTTTGTTGTTGTTGTTGTTGTTTGCTTTGTCAAAGAGGAGGCATTTCCTCGACACTTTTAGGTTCTTCTGGCTGGTCTAATAGTCAAATTGACATGAGACAGATTAGCAGGAGAAAAACAAGTTAAAGTTTAATAACAAGTCTACCTCTTGTATAGATGGGAGAGACCCAGGAAAACGGAATAACTTATCAAAATGTCAGAAGCCACCACCTTAAATACCACTTTCAGCTAAAGACAAAAGAAATTGAGAGTAAAGAGTCAGATATGGGAGGTTACCAGAAATAGCATAGCAAACAGTAAGATTATTATGTAGATTTAGGTCCTTGCTTTCTTCATTGACAACTTATTCTAGAGATTTAGATAGCCTCTTCTTCCTGGTGCAGTGAGAGAAACACTTTTAAAAATTGAGATTTCCTCTACAAATGACCTTAGATAAATGTCCTTTTACAAAGGGTAATTTCTGCTTGGTTTTCAGAGCTTCTCTATGTTTGTTGTTTTTTTAAATTAACCAGTCTAAAAGAAGCATATTTTGGGATGGCAACTCTATTTACTCCTCCTCACAGGTAACATTGAAAAACACCCACAGTCAGCAGATGCTTTTCTCTAGTTTATTCAGGTGATGAAAATTGGAGAGTGGAGTTAATATTTTTATCTTTACACTTTTTCCTACCTTCTTTTGTTCTAACAAAGTATAATAGAACAGAAATCAACTGAGTCCTGAAAATATATATAAAGTACTTTCCTATTCTCTCTTTATTTGAAAACTAGAGGCCAGTGCACGAAATTCATGTGCTGGGGCAGGGGGGGTCCCTCAGCCCAGATTGCAAGAGGACGCAGTCCAGGCCGAGGGATCCCACCAGTGCACGATCGGGGCTGGGGAGGGACATGGGAGGTTGGCCAGCCGGAGAGGGACCATGGGAGGGCTCCAGGGCGTGTCCGGCCCATCTTGCTCAGTCCTGATCAACCCGACCCCAGCAGCAAGCTAACCTCTGGTAGGAGCGTCTGCCCCCTGATGGTCAGTGCACGTCATAGCGAGATCTCTGGATCTATTTTTGTTCATCAGTTTTTGTTATGTTTATTATATTCCACAAATGAGTGAGATCATGAGCAGCCTTAGCATATCAGCATATTATGCTTTGATTGGTTGAATGGCTGACCGGATGACCAGACACTTAGCATATTAGGCTTTTATTATGTAGGATTGTTCTTAGAAGACAGCTTTTAGTACAGATGGCCACTTTAAATCTGGTAGGTGAGGAGAATTGAACATTTGTGAATGCATATTTTAAGAGTGTTTTAAACAATATTGCTCAATTGTTAAATCATTTTGAGAGACTGAGGGAAGCTAGATAGGGACTGGGATCATGGAGGAGGAGGGAGGAGAAAGACAGGAACCCAACTAGGTGGAGTTACTAAGGCATCCCAACTTGGTGGGGAAGGAAGGGCACATGCAAGAGGCATGAACTTTATGACAGGAAGCTTGCAGATAACCAATTACAAGACAGTGAGGCATCTAACCAATCCCAAGAATGTTATTAAGGCAGAATTCTTTGAAAAGACCAATCAGGAACTAGTAAGGCTGCCTCTCCTCCCCTGCGTGCTAGGTTCTTGAGTTGATGGCATGAGAGGTGCTACCTGTT